GGGCTATCATATAGAATGAAGAAATGGACAGAGGAAACCCTATTTCAGTGAAAAATAAAATAATGTTATACATATAATGTGTGCATGTATAGTGTATATGTTTGTATGTGTATATGTGTATGTGTTTATATGTGCCTGTATATGTGTGTGTGTGCCTGTGCCTGTCTGTGTGTGCCTGTGTGTGTGCACACATGTATGTTTGTGTGTGTGTATATGTGTGTTTATATGTGCCTGTATATGCATGTGTGTGCCTGTATATGCGTGTGTGTGTGTGTGTGTGTGTGTGTGTGTGTGTGTGTCTCTCTGAGGGAGGGAGGTGAAGGAAGTGAGATGAGGGTAATAATGACCAGGCCTGGAAGGAACAGGAGGAACAGTGAGCAGACGGGTAGGGTGGGCCCACCTCTGAGGAAGTGGCCCTGTCTGAGGTGGGGCTGCAGAGAAGCAGGGTGAGGGTGGAGCCCATGGATTTTCCAGAGGGAATTATAAAGGCCGCCAAGAATGCACAAGAGATAAAAATAGAGGAAGGGAGTGTGGCCTGGAGGGTGGGTGGAGCCTTCTCACAGTGTCTAGAATTGCAGGGAGAGGGGAGGAGGCAGGGCTCTGAGACCAGGGAGGAGAAAAAGAAAGAGAAACTAGGTCTGTTATGGGAAATGGGGCCATGGTTTCCTACTTGGAAGTGCCTGCATGTGATCAGTATAAGCATAGGGCTGGTAGCAGGCTGGGGAAGAATTCTATATTTGCAACTTCTATAAAGCCTTTCATGAATTCATGTAATATACACTGAGCTGCTGCCAGGTACTGGGCAAATTTCTCTGCACTGGAGATGCAAACAGTGGGCAAACGAGGGGGAGTGAATGGAGTCAGCGAATCAGGTGTGACAGAAAACAAAGACAGGGATATAAAGGAGCAAGTGGGTGAGTAGATGAGGCAGAAAAGGCTTTTCTTGGCAGAGGATAATGGGGTGTTGCAGGACCTTTGTCACCTGCTGAGAGCAGCTTGCCAGGCTATTACCTTACAGCCCTCCTGGGCAGGGGAGCAGCTTTGAAGCCTATATCCCCACTCTCCTCCTCCTTGGAGCTTCTCTTTTCTTCATTCCTCCTCCTCTGTTCCCCTTCTCCTTGCCGATAAACCCTCTCCCATGTCTCCCTTTGTTACCAGAAAGTGGACCTGGCCTTGAGTGGGCCTGCCTGGGACTGGCCGCTAGTGTGTGAGTTCTTGACTTCGTGCAGGAAAAATTTCACAACATGAGTCCAGGTGAATTTTAGAGGATGTTTGCTAAAGCTGGGGACAGTGAAACAAGGAAGGGCTGGGGAAATGAGCCTAGGCTGGTTTGCTTTGGCTCACCGAAAAGTCAGAGAAAAGGGGGTCTTGGGGACAGGCTCAAGGGGTTTGCCCGGGATGAACTGCCACTGCCCATTGCTGCCCTGATTGCAAGCCTTATAGGGTCCCGTGGAGTTAGGAGATGTATGCCTATGGGGGAAGAGGAGAGGGGAGAGAAAGACCTGGATGTGCTCCTGGGAGGGAGAGCATGAGCTGGATCCTTTGTCTTGAGGCTTTTATCTCTCTCTTGCAGGCAGGAATCTTAGGGAAGATCTCAGGGGAGGGTCTCAGCAGAATATTCATCAGTTTTCTAGGTGTGCTCCTTCAGGGTCATGATCTCCACTGATTGGTCAGTGTCAAGGCAGAGGGTCGTTAGTCATTGCAGCTGGTCCCGGTGTTGCCCACTTGGTTTTGATGCTTTTCTGGGTCTGGAGCTGAAACACAATAGATGTTATCTTTAGGGAGGTGACCTTCTGCATCTGCTGTAAATTGCTCTGTCAGTTTGTCCAGCTATCTGTCTGTTTCCCCAGTCCACTGTCCTGGCTACTGGCCTGTCTCACCTTTGACCTGAAACTTGGGAGGGCCAAGGCTGGAGGAGACAGTGACTGTGGCTTCCTTCTACTACTTCCTTCTTATCTTTCTACCCTTTGGGTCCTCCCATAGTCATCATGACCGACAAATAGTACATTACTATGCTCTGTCCCCAGCCTCTACAGAAAAGTTAGCATCGTAGACAGGGAACAGTGGTCACACCCACAGAAAGACACACCTTTGGAGAGAGCATGTCTCTGCTGACAGCTTGATCTCGGACTTCTAATTTCCAGAGCTAAGGTGCATGGGGAAGGAAGGAAAAAGCAGTGAAGGAGACATGTCGGTCAGAAAGAATCAGAGAAAACTGTGGGTCTTATGAAGGGCAGGCAGCCAAAGGCCCTGGGAGAAGGTAGACTTATTTCCTTATAAATTATGTGGTTATGAAGGCGGGAGTTTCTCATGTGGCTTTTTGCATAACTAGGTTGTCAGGTAGTTAGCCCATTAGAGGGCTCATAAAGTCTTCAGCTGCGCTGACTCACAGCATGAGACATCAGGAGGTGAGCCAGCAGGGATGCAGCTCTGAGGAGGAACCTGTCTATGTGGTGTCAGCCAGGATACTCTTTGGGGCCCAAGTGTCACAACCTGGGCTTTAGAGTCTGAGTTCAAGTCTTGACCCCACGCCCTTGCCAGCTGTGTGAGCTTGGGCAAGTCACTAACCCTCCCTGAGCTTTTGTTTCCACATTAGGGCAATGGTGATGGTTTCAAGGTGGAGGATTGGCCTGGGGAAGTGCAGCTGACTTCTCTGACAGATCCTTGAGGAGGGCAGTCCATGGGTGTGGCCACCAATTTCCAGAAGCTAATCCTTGGATTTCCCTCAGAAATTTAGTGGTTGGCACTTTGGCAAACTGTTGAACAATATCTAGTGAACTCCCTATATTGGTTTCTTTAAAAATATATATTTTATTGATTTCAGAGAGAAAGGGGGGGGGGGGAGAGAGAGAGAGAGAGAGAGAGAGAGAGAGAGAGAGAGACAGACATCAATGATGAGAGAATCATTGATCGCCTGTCTCCTGCACACCCCATATTGGGGATTGAGCCCACAACCTGGGCATGTGCCCTGACCAGGAATCGAACCGTAATCTCCTGGTTCATATGTCGACATTCAACCACTGAATCATGACGGCCAGGCTGTATCGGTTTCCTAGGACTGTCATAACAAAGTACCACAAACTAGGTGGCTTAAAGCAACAGAAATTATTTCACAGTCCTGGAAGCCAGAAGTCTGAAATCAAGGAGTCAACTGGTCCATGCTCTCTCTAAGGGTGTGTCTTTCTATTGGGAGCTGCCACTGCCCCATGCCAAAGTGCTAACTTTTCTGTAGAGGCCAGAGGCAGTGTGTGACAATGCGTTTGTCAGTTTTCATTGCAGGAAGAAAGGAGGGAACATTATGGAGCCTAGGCTAATTGGAGGGGATATTTGGGGATCCTCATATCTCCTCCTGATCCCTTGAGATAGCCCAGGGTCCTCAGCATCCTGGTGAGATTACCAGGAGTAGGTGGGAACAATGAATTCTGGTAAGTGCTGCTCCCTTTAGATCTCCCTCTCCCTTTTATGAGGACTCATGCCTCCCCCATGTCTCTGAGGGGTGAGGTGGGGAGAAGCTGGAGGCAGGGATGGTGGAGATGCCTGGGGAGTGGTGTGCCTGCCTGAAGAGGTTGCAGTGGATGCCAAAGAGGGCAGAGATAGCCCAGGGTCCTCAGCATCCTGGTGAGATCACCAGGAGTAGGTGGGAACAATGAATTCTGGAAAGTGTGGCTCCCTTTAGAGCTCCCTCTCCCTTTTCTGAGGACTCATGAATGCCTCTATCTTGATTTCCAAAAATTCAGGAGTGTCTTGAAATTCCAACAAATATGATTGCATGGCAATAGGGACATGCCCTTAGGATAGTGTCATTGAGCCCTGGACTGCCTACCTCCTGCTCTCCTTTCTATTTGTATCTCTCTGTGTGTGTGTGTGTGTGTGTGTGTGTGTGTGTGTGTGTGTGTGTGTGTGAGAGAGAGAGAGAGAGAGAGAGAGTGTTAGAGAGAGAGAGAGAGAGATTGAGATTGATTTTAAAGAATTGACTCACAATTATAGAAGCTGATAAGTACAAAATCTACAGAGTGAGCTACCACCAGGCTGGAGACTCAAAGAATTAATGTTACAGTTCAAGTCTAAAAGCCATTTGTTTGCAGAATTTCCTTTTGCTTCGGGGAGGTCAGGCTCTTTCTCTAGTCAGGCCTTCAACTGATTAAATGAGACCTACTCACAGAAAAGAGAACAATCTGCTTTACACAAAGTCCACTGATTTGAATGTATGGTCATCCAAAAACACCCTCACAGCAATACCCAGAATAATGTTTGATCAAATGTCTGGGCATCCATGGCCCAGCCAAGTTGACACACAGAATTAACCTCCTAGCTAAAATGACTTCAACAAGCAGTAGGAATGGTAGCTTCCCATCACTGAGGACTTACCTTATCTTATGTTGGGGGCCTTAGGCTCACTTCCCAACACATCTGTGTGGTAAGTTTTATGCTCGTTTTATAACAGCATAGTAAGAAGCCAGAAAAATTCCTGGGCAAGTGGAATAGGGAAACCAAGACAAGAAAGTTAAATAATTCATGGATAATAAAGACCATCATAAACTTATGAACAATAATAGATACAGAGGCAGAGCTGCCTCAAACAGATTGTCAAACTGCAGCGGGAAGGCCGGGGAGGGTTGGGGGGCAGGAGGGAGGGGGGTAAGAGATCAACCGAAGGACTTGTATGCATGCATATAAGCATAACCAATGGACATAGACACTGGGGGGTAGGGGAGGCCAGGGGATTGTCAAGGGCGGGGGAAAAAAAGGACACATATGTAATACTCTTTGTAATACTTTAAGCAATAAAACAATAACAAAAAAAAGAAAGGGATCAAAGGACAGCATCTAAATAAATGGTTCTCAGCATAGCTGGCCAAAAAAAAGTCCTACAATTGGCTCCTCTCCGAGAGGGCGTGGCTAGGCCTGGGGGCGTGGCTAGGCCTGGGGGCGTGGCTGGACTCTAGGGCGGATTGAGCCAGTTTAAAGCCCCGGCTGTAGTGGCGGTTACACGTGGAGGCATGGAGGAGTGCGCTGGCCTCTGCGGCGTGGGCTCTTCGCGGGGACATCGGTGTCGTCAGAAGCGCCAGCGCCCAGCTGAGACGGCAGCAGCCGACGCCAAGCAGTGTCGCCAGGAGTGCCAGCGCCCAGCTGAGATGGCAGCGGCCCACAGCAAGCCGTCCCCGGCAGAAAAGCTCGTCGAGGTGGACGAGGCAGCGCGGTGCTGTGCGGGGAGGGGAGGAATCGCGAGCCCCATGCCGCCCCCGCCCCCGCCGCCCCCACGCTGCTCGCTGCCCGACCTGCCGGTGGAGATCCTGGTGGAGATCTTCGCCTCGCTCCCCGGCACCGATCTGCGCAGCCTGGCCCAGGCCTGCACCAAATTCCACCGCATCCTGCACACCGACAGCATCTGGAGACGGCGCTGCCGCGAGGAGTTTGGCGTTCGTGAAAACCTGCAGAACCCGGAGATGATGGGTATGTCTTACCGAGAATTCTATGCGAAGCTGTTCCCATACAGACACACTTTGGGGCTGTGGCAGCTAAATTATAGCTGCAGAACACTGCTGAACGTCGCGGTGGACGGCTTAGGCATTACTGGCGGGAGGTACAGGCCTCCCCTTAACACCCATGTGCGTGGCCCAATACGTTTCAAGCCCTCGTTCAGAATTCGCCTGACGGAGAGGAAATCCGCCGCGGTGGAGTGCCTGGAAGGCCTCCTCGGCCGGCCCCACAGCGGCCACATGCAGATCCTGGAGGACAGGCTCACCATCCAGTGCAAGAGGACCGACCACCGAACGGATTCACCAACGCGGCTCAGGGGAGAACGGGGGCGCGGGCGGGGGCGGGTGCAGGAGGACGGACAGCGGTATGACTGCCTGACCTACCGCCGCCTCTACCTCCCGCCGCGCCACCCGGACGACCTCATCAGGCCAGGCCTCTTCTACGTCAAATACAACGCCTTCGGCCCAACGACCGTCATGCTCAGCTTCCACGGGAAGTACGCCAGGGTCACGAGGCTCATGGGGATCGGCACGAAGGCGTTAGAGATCCACCTCCTGCGCCGCATCCAGCTGCGAGATGGCGAGATCTTCCGCAACTTCAACGAGCTCTCCCGCGTGGTCCAGGAGATTGACGAGCAGGTGACCCGGGAGCAGCAGCAGCAGCAGCAGCAGCAGCAGCAAGAAGACGCGACTGAGGAAAGCCAGGGCCATGGCTGGCAGAGCCCTGCCCAGCCCAGCGTCGGGGAGTCCGGGGCTGCAGCTTCGGAGGAGCAGCCTGTCCCGTTTGTTCTGCCTGTGGGCGTGCGCTCAAGTGACCAGAACTACCCCCGAACCTGCAGGATGTGTTTCTACGGCGTGGACATTGAGTCCTTCGGCTACCCCAGGCACTGCTGCCCCGGAGTCTTCATCCTGTTCGATGAGGACCACTTCGGGTTCATCTGGCTGGAGGAGAAATACTTCTTCTGGTACGACAGAGTCCAGGACACCTTCCAGAATGTGGAGGCGCCATCCCCGCAGGCCTTCCTGGAGATGCTCAAGGACATTCAGTCTAGTTTCATATTTTAATCTGAATAATTCTTTTTTGTTTTTGTTTTTGAATAATTCTTTACTGGCAATTTTTTCAATAGTTTTTCTTCATTTATAAATCTTAAGTGGTTTCCCATTGCTTATAAAATTAAAACAAAATCTTTTCAAACAGCTGTATTGAAGTATAATTAACTTATTATATAAATAAACTACTATTGATTTATCGGTTAAAAAAAAAAAAAAGAAAGAAAGAAAAAAGAAAGTTAAATAAGGCCAAACAGTTTGGGCAGCTTGCAGCCAGTTTGTATCTTTCCCAAACAATTTACAGAGGAGTCAACGGAATCTTGCCGAGTGTAAAAGCTGATGTTAGTGCCCTACCTGGTCTCTTTTCCCAGGTGTTGCCGTGTGGTGGCTAAGAGCTGATGCCCTTGTCCAGCACCTTCTGGGAACTTATTTACCCCCTTCTTACCCCTCACCCCCTGTTCTCCACGGCTGGACATTGACGGATTGAAACAGGGGGGTGAGAGCCTGGGCTGCTTACCTCAAGGGAGAGCAACTCTGGAGACTATTCACCCCCCAGAGCTCCGTAAGGGATCAGGCTGCGGTCAGACTTCACTGAGGTCAGCCTTGACATCCTTGGAGAGCATCTTCCCCTGCCCTGTCCTGCTTCCTTCCCTCCCTTCTCTTAAGACAATTTCCTCAGGAAATCGTGTGAATCCCCATCTCTGATTCTAGAGAGAATGTGATCTAAGACATTGGTTAGTGAGGAATTTAAAGTCAGGTCTTGCTGACTTCAAGGTCAGCCTGATGACCCCAGGCATTGTCCATAGCCTGGTGGCTTTGTCACCCTCTTCCTCACTTGTGCACCCCTTGCTGCTGCCTAATTTCACAAAGCCAGGCACCAGCAACAAGCTGCCCTGTTAGGTATCTCCACAGGGGCAGGGAGGGGCAAGTTAAAGTGTGTGCTTGTGGGTAGAGAGGCCGTAGGTCTGAGAGTCTCATCCCCCAGGCTCCTCAGAGCACAGTTGCTGGCTTTCAGGAGCCGGAGGCCAGATGTGCTGCAACAGGGATGTATTCAAAGTCCTGAGCTGCAGCTTGGGAGAGAGCGTGAGCCAAACCCCACAGGCAGGCCGCCTGGTCAGCAGGCTCCAGGCCTAGGCTGTGGTCCGAAGCCCCCACCCATTCACAGCCCCCTGCCTGTGGGACTGCTGAGTCATCACCCTGGTAGGGCCGCTGCTGGATATTTCCATAACTTGGAGGTTTGGATGTGTCCCCGTCATGCCTGCTCCAGTTAGAATTTCTCCTCTGCTTTCCCAGGCAGCCTCCAGCCTTCTCTGAGAGATAGCAGCTGAAGGACATTAAATGTGTGAGAACTAGTGTCCCCCTCCACCACTCCCCCTCCCACTCCCCCGTGGGGATGAGAGAGTCTGGACCTGAGCAGGTGGAGTCAAAGCCTGGCAGAGGAATGGCTGTGTGTGTGTGTCTGGGGTTGGGGGAAGGGCCCACCGGTCTGGAGAAGACAACAAAGGATGTGGGTACCAGTACACAGAAACCTCTCTTAACAAAAAGGAGTGTTGGGCTCTTCTCTTTGGTAAAAGACCTTTAGTACTATCTTTTCTATGAAGTAGAAAAGTTTGGGGACTTTGGTGCCAGGTAGATCTGATTACAAACCTCTGTTCTGTGCCCTGGCCAGTATGGATCAATGGTTGGAGTGCCAGCCTGCGAACCAAAGGGTTGAAGGATCAATTCCTGGTCAAGGGCACATATCTGGGTTGTGGGTTCACTCCCAGCCCCAGTCAGGCATGTTCTGAGGCAACCAGTCAATGGATCTCTCTCACATCGATGTTTCTCTCCCGCTCTTTTTCCCCCTCCATCCCTTCTTCCCTTCTTTCCACTCTCTCTGAAAAAGTAATGGAAAAAATATCCTTTGGTGAGGATTAACAAAACAAACAAACAAACAAACAAACAAACAAACAAACAAACACAAAAAATCTCTGTTCTGTGAGGTTGGGAAAGTCACTTAATATTTCAGAGCCTTGCCCTAGCCACTTTGGCTCCATGGATAGAGCATTGGCCTGTGGACTGAAGGGTCTGGGTTCAATTCTGGTCAAGGGCACATACCTCAGGTTGTGGGCTCAATCCCCAGTACGGGGTGTGCAGGAGGCAGCTGATCAATGATTCTCTCTCATCATTGATGTTTCTATCTCTCTCTCCCTCTCCCTCTCTGAAATCAATAAAAATATATTTTAAAAAAATATTTCAGAGCCTTAGTTTCCTCATCCAGAAAATGGGTGGCCATGCTTAGTGCACAGGCTTGCTGACTGGGATGAGGCAAGTCAGATGAAGGAAGTAGCTCAGCCAGAGGCACAGAGAGCCTTGGTGGATTAGGAATGTTAAAGAAAAATTTAGCCAACTTCCCCTCGAAGGAGCTAATTTACTTCTAGAGCCAGAGTGGTGGACATAAGACCATTGCTTGCTCATTCCAGTGCTCAAGGCAGACATCACTACTTTTATCTGCATACTCCAACCCTGGCTAGCGCCTCCAGGGAGCTTCTACTAAATGATTAGAGGTGGCATTCAAGCTAGAACCACATCTCTGCCCTCAGGTCAACATGGCCTTGACAGTCACCACAGAGTCCCTGAGTCTGTGAAGAGGGATTTAAAGGAGAGAAAATTTGTCTTTAAGGTGTCTCTAGCTTGAACACCTGGAAATAGAGATTGTTTCTGATCGAGCAGCCCAAAGGGTCTATCATTTTGAGGCAGCCTGAGCTGCTGAGCAGAGGTCAGGCTTGGTGTGACCCTTACGGATGACCACTAACTAGCATGGCATGGCTGGCCTCACCAAAGGTGGACTCAGTCTGCTTCTCCACAGGAGCACATCCTGAGCCAAAGATTCAGTGCAAGAAGTTTATTTGTGAAGTCATCCCAAGATCTCTAGTAGGAGATTCAGTAAGTGAGATGAGGGAGGGAAGGAAGCCTATGCAAGGTGCATTTCAGCCACTGTGGGTGACTGGAGCTTAATCCTGCTCAGGAAGTCTGGGAGACACAGTGCAGAGCACGCAGCTGAGTTATGGCATCTGAGGGGCGAAGGAACTGGTGTAGTTATACACCAACTCCCCTCAGTTATTAGTTGAGGGTGACTGGGGCAGCATATAACTCCCTGATTACAGATACACAGAATGGGATCAAGTGGCCAGAGAAAGCTCTCAGGCAAAAGAAATCACAGGTACTGGTGGTTGGAAGTGGTAAAATCCAAAAGCAGTATCAGCTATTCATGTGGTTCCCAAACTGAGTCTTTTCATTGAAAATCAGGGCAGCCTAACCTTTCCCAGTGTGGAGTGCTCTTCATAATGCCAGCAGCCTCACCCTGCCTCATCCTGCCTCACCCCTAGAGGCTCAGGGTGTGTAGTTCCTGTTCTAGAAAGAATGATCAGAACCCTAATGTTTAAAATAGTAAGCACTTATTTCATACTTGCTATTGTCATTGCTTTGTAAGCATGATCTCATTTAATGTTCACAACCCAGTGAATATCATCTCTGAAGTTCAGAGAGATTAAGTAGTTTGCCTAAGATCACAGCAACAGAGTAATAGACTGTTTATGTCCCTCCAAAATTCATATGTTGAAATCCTAACCGCCTATGTGATGGTATTAGGAGATAGGGTCTTTGGGGGTAATTAGGTCATTAGGAGGAGCCCGAATGAATGGGATTAATGACTTTATAAGAAAAGACACAAGAGAGATTGCTTCCTCTTCCTGCTCTCCACCTTGTGAGGATACAGCAAGAAGAGGCCATCTGCAAACCAGGAAGTAGGCCCTCAGCAGACACCAGATCTGCCGGCATCTTGATCTTGGACTTCCCAGCCTCCAGAAATGTGGTAAATAAATGTATGTTGTTTAAGCCACCCTGTCTGTGGTACTTTGTTATAGCAGCCTGAACTAAGATAGATCCTACCCAAGTATGCCTGCTGTCACTGTTGTGGCAGAATGCACGGGAGAACCGTCGGCCAGCACTCTGAGGGAGGAAAGTTTAACCTTTATTTTGCAGATCTGCTAGTCCGGGGGAATTCTGGATCCAAAGCCTGAACTGAACTCGTGGGGAGGCTCTGACCTATATATCTCCTCCTGCGGCGGCCCCTGAGGGTCCCTGCAGCTCCACACAAGTCAGCTGTGGCAGGGCCCTGGGGTTGGGCTCTGCAGCTCCTCCCAAGTCAGTCAGAGTGGGGAAGTAAGACGACAGTTTTAACCAGATACTGAACTAGGTTGCAAGCACCCCCATTTTCTTTTTCATTACTACCATCAGTCACAACCGTCACAGACATCACTAATTCATCACCAGTCTCTTTCAGACAGGGACTTACAACCCCTTTCCAGAGAATGAATTCTCTAGTTAGGCCCTGGAATGTAATCCCAGAATAATCTCTGATAAACACTTAGCGTAAGACCTGGCACACAGTAGGTGCTCAATAAATGGAAGTTGTTAGTATCATTACTATTGCCACTTAGAGATGAAATCCATTGGCCAAAACTGCCCTGACCCTAAGACAGGTAGACTTTGCCAGATTCATTCCTCTGAAGCAGCTATAAAGAGTGGGAGAAGAGGGGAAGAGCTGTGAAAAGAGTTGGGGTAATTTGAGAGGGGTTGGTTTTGGAGCCTGGGTCCTACCAGGAGGAAAGCCTAGATGATATGAGTCAGCAGGATTGGTGGGAGCTTGGTGCCCAGGAGAGGCTGACAAGGGAGGAGATGGGGTGAGAGGTCCTAAAATTGTCCCCTGTTCCTTATCCTCTGTGGGTAGGTTCTTGTTGCCAGAAAGGGCATGTCCAGTCTCCTAGTTCTTCCTTTCACTTGGCCTTCCTCCTGCCTCATCTTTGCTCCTAGTACCACTCAGAACCGGAGACAGGACTGGCCTCCAGGACTCCCAGGGGCTTGTCTCCATGTTCCTCCCTGGTCTAAACTCCAGTGAGGGAGGGACCTTTGTGGAGAAGGGCCAGGAGCTGTTCTTAAAGCAGCCAGTGAGTGGTTGAGGGTTTTGCTTGAAAACCTGGGGTTTGACATATTCTTGGCCAGGATTGCCTTTGCCTTATGTAGCAGATGATTAAAAAAAAAAAAAATGGCCCTAATTTTCCATCGCTCCCTGAATCCACACCCTTTATGATCTGATCTCATAGCTCATCCCACTGAGAGGTGGAGTCTGTTTCCTGACCCCTTGAATCTGGTCTGGACTTGTGGCTTGCTTTGGCTGATGAGAGGTGGTAGAAGTTGTTGAGCCCTTTCTGAGCCTTGCCTGTTTCTTGCTCTCTTGAATGCTGCCATGAGCATGTGAACATACTCAGGCTAGCCTACAGGAGGACAAGAGACCACATGGAGCAGAGACAATCTTCCTGGCTGAGGCCATCTTACACCAGCCACTAGCTGGCACCCAA